GTTTGGAAGAGGCAAACAATGGGATCTTTCCACAGCTAGTTACCATACAGTCTACTGGCAAACCATAAAAATATCTGCAGCATCTCTTGCCCAATCACACTGAGCAACCAACCACATTCGCACATCCCTGCATCTACTCATTCAAGTTCTTCACAAATTGTTTTGTAAAAATTTTATTGTCATACAAAATGAGCCTGAGTTGGAAGATGGGGAAGAGAACAAGGCCCCAGGGATGCAGCCATGTTGTCTTACAGGCAGATAAAACTGCTGCTTGGGGCCTGTTTCTTATTTAGGAACAGAGTGCCTGTTTAGTCTATGCCATGCTCTGGGCTCAATCCCTAGCACCAAAAACAGATGCAGCAGCACTACATGGAGTTCAATGCCTCTATGACTCAGGGACCTGCCCTGAGGATCCATTCTCATATCATGAGATATTAATGCAGCTCTGCTGATGTCTGAGAGGCCAGCTTGCTGTGACCATGCCCAGCTGATAGTCCTAGGAAACCTAACAGCAGGGAAAACTTGGGCTTCTGGTCAACTGCTCCCCAGTGATACACCTCTGGGTGATGGCCTGGCCTGGGAATTTTTGCCCTCCATCTACTGAAAGCAAGACTGTGTTTGGGAATTGACTTAACTTCCTTGGAAAATCTGTCAGTTTTACGAGGCAGAAGTTCTGGGTCCTCACAAGCACTATGTTCTGTCATAACATGAAGCTGCCCTAAACAGTACTATTCCTGCTCAAATCCACTGAGGTGTGAGGCAAACGTGACAGGGAATGTGAGGGATTTAGCTAAAACTTAATAGCATTTCCACGTCTTAGACTCTCTCTTAGAACCTTGACTCCAATGGCACTCAGAATATGGAACTAAATGATGGCATAATACATTCAGTAAGAGGTCTTCAGTGAAAGGTTAAGCAGTGACAAGTCCTTAAACATTGCCTTCTTCAGATTATTGTTCCTGGTATAGACTTTTTTTGTGTTGGGGGACAGTTTGTTCTTGACATGTTTCCCAATACTAAGTGTTCACTAGTGACCTTACTATATCAATTCCAAGCAGCCATCTTGCCTGCTGGTCATCGACATGGCATCTAGACATGATTTTTCATATCAATTAAACACCTTGTTCAAGGGAAACAGTTAAGCAACCTGGAATAGGTCATGTAGCAGATACATTGTTTGTGTGTTTTTCTTATTTCTGATCACAATAGACAGAGCAGAGCTGGATTCACAGAATATAAAGAAAGGAAGGAGAGCAGCTTTCAGAACATAATAGCCTACTTTCCATTACGATGAATTCATTTTTACAATATGAACCAAACTTAAACATCTCAATATAATCAGCCAAATGTTGCACAGATGTGAAGTCCAGCAGACTTCCCACATGAAGAGGCTGCTGGGACTTCAGGGTGTACCATCTCACTTTTCCAAATGACTATTGCCCAGAGGATGCATAAGCTACTAATCTCCACCTGTCACCTCATCAAAATTGCAAAATCTTCCCTGTCCCCCTTAAAACCTCAAAATAACATCAGCAGTGAAGTCCTAACAGCCACATTTGCCACACGCAAGTTAACGAAAAGTCTCTTCATGAAGTTGCTTTCTTGAGACATGTGACTTAGCATCCATGTGGGTTAACAGCATCCAACAGTGGCATGTGCTAGCAGAACATTGTAACCATTAAAACAACTTATTCAAAACTGTCACCTTATACCAAGGAACATTAACATAATCCAAAACGCAACAGACATGTGTATCACATCCAGGTCGTGAACGTAAAGCATTTAGTGTCCAGACAGAATTTCATGCAGGGTTAAGGTCAGGGTATGGTAGCCTTCAGCTTCTATCCACTGTTGCCTGCACTCAGGTGGCCTTGCACTGTCTGGCAGGTGATTTTGGTACTCATGGAAACCAATATTTTCAAATAAAATTAGGAAGTGATCAGTAAAAGTCGCTTCAAGTCAATCTCAGTATCAGCCGCTTTATATCTTCACACACACATACACACACACGAGATGTGGGCATTTTTAAAGGAACACAGCATGTTCACTTAGGTAATTCCAAAGAGAAAGAGGGATTTAAAGGGGGGCATGTGTATGATCTATGCTTATTAATACTGATAGAGTGGACTAGTTAATATTATTGCCTTCACAAATCTCAAACATAAGTGGTGACTTGGTGGTGATATCAATGGAATTAGATATAATCATCCAGTTCTCAATTTGTCCCTGAGCATTAAAATGCACTACATTTAATGAGTCTCAGGTGGCACTTACGTAGGAAGACCTTAACTTGTATAAACTTCATAACAGTGCCCCCTAAAGTGTGTGTGTGTGTGTGTGTGTATGTGTGTGTGTGTGTGTGGGAGTGTTGCTGAGGATAGAACCCATGGTCTTGTGAGTCTGTAGCTCATTGGTGTTCTACATTAGAGTACCACACAGATACCCACATGAAAGCCAACAGCACATCTCTGGGTTTCTAAAATTCCTCTAACAACTATGTCTGTCTGCTTGTCACTCCTTATTTCCTTAAAGACTGTACATCTGTCATGAGACAAAAAAATATATATATACATATAGCAAGAAATATGTTTGCTGTAGCCAGTTCCCTGGGAATGGAGCATTTTGCTGTTAAGGAATGAACTGAAGTTTCAAGTACGGATAAATAGAAAAAGCTGCTGGGTCAAAACATAATTAGCCGAAGCATTTGCGCATCAAAAGTTATCTGAAGAGATTAATTCAAATTCTACCACATACAGTATTTGGTCATTAGGAATGAGATGGATTCAACAATTCACAGGATTTCATTGTACAACAAATCATTAAAAATTATACAAGTCAGAAAGAAAAAATGTAAATGCAATCAAGAAGAGATTATAGGCCGCACTAATCTCAAGCAGCCACTTCTTTGCAGTAAAGACGATTCCACTGATCAAGACAAAATGACTGTTCTTGTTCCTGTCGGAAGGTCACAGAATGAGACTTTGAAAAGCTAACTTCACTGAGGGAGAACAGCTGCATTACAGAGCTTCCTCAGACAGTGCCTACATGGAGGATAAGGCATCCTTGACTGCAGAGATGGGGAAATGGGAGTGTGGGGGTGGGGACTCAAGGGGAGCACACACATACTTTCCCTTAGGAAAACCACCAGCTACTGCACAGCTGGACCTGAGCAGCTGTTACAGGGGTATATGTTGGCTTATTTTGCTAATTTTACTATTTTGTTAATTGTTCTATAATAAATACCACTCCTGTGGCCTAAAAGAGGTACAGAGAAACTGTATCTCTTTCACTTTTTCGTCAGTAGACTGCACTCATTAAAATAAAGTACCTTGATTAATTTTTTTCTTTACCAAAGCAATGGATGCCACCATTTTATATGCATATTCATAGTCATGTGAGAAACAATTTGCCTCTCTGAGCACTCACCCCACAGCTTAGTGCATCCTGTATGGGGTTTCTGGCATAACTCAAGCCTATGTCCCTCTAGGGCTCTGCCTCCTGCCACATATCAGATGAGCTAAAAAAACAACTGTGCAGACAGAAATAAAACATTGCTTCAGTGAATCAGTAATAATGTTTGGATTCTGTATGTGAAATTCATCTATGAATGGAATTGTTTTGAAAGCTGAAAATGTACAATGCATCACTGTATTTAATATTTAAAATTACAGATATTTTAGTTATCTTGGCTTAAAGACAAAAAAATCATTAGTAACTCTCAGAGGCATCAGTTAGTGTGTGATCAAGGAGAACAGAGGTGTGGTTTAAATGTTAAACACACTAATTCTAAGAAATAGTATGACTTCACATTAAGTGATTTGCATACTATTCAGGAAGGTTATACTGCATTCTAATGATGGCCAATATATTGCACTATTCAATCATGCTAGAATACAGCAATGTAATTCAAGGCAACGAAAACCAATGGGAAGTTAAATGTGTAATTACAGCTTCCAACTCACTAATTACATGCAGTGAGTTATCCCTGAAGTGGGGACATGTACAGGTTGAGTTGGTGCTATACTGGAATTATCAGAAGCCAATGAAGAGGAGGAATTTGAGCTCAGGGTCTAGTAAATCTTCTCTGCATGCAGACAGATGTTATTTTCACCCCTAGGATTGACATTCTGACTTCTCTTTGGACCATCTCAGTGAATAAAGGAATTTATATTTTAGTTTATAACTTCAGGATCTTACACACAGGTAATTCAGTAAGGTCTAGAATAAGAATTGTCATCTCTTTCATAGTCTATGACTTTAATGTGTTCTAGAGACACTGCAAGCTTGATTAGCAGCAAGCACCAGCCTAAGCAAGCCTCCCTCCTTTCCATATACACCTATTGTACAGCAATAGACTCTACTAGTCTAGCTGCTATCTGAGTATCCAAGCTCAGATACTTGTGTGCAAGGTTACAAATACTGTCTACACTGTGTCACGTTTCAGAACCTCTAGCACCCAAGTAGATCAGAAAGAACCAATCAGTTCACTTATAAACTACCATATTCTGGATTTCTTTTAGGATTAAAAAATGGGAACCCAATGGAATAGCTAATATTTTGCACTGAGTTCTGTAATTGTTTTATCTAAAACTATTCTGTGTACATGGAAGGTTACATAGTTTTAAGCATAGTTTCAGCCATCCTGAGTATAAATGTTCCTTTGAAAAATATAAGTTGTTCTCATGTCTAACCTCAAGGGAAGTTGTGTGCTAATGCTGTTCTACCCCAGCCCTGGAAGCCACTTTGTAGTGTTTTCTCCCAGAAGCACACCAATAGCCTGTTATTGGGCATTTTAGTGCATACCAGGGACAGAGGCCAGCACTGTGGCTGCCTCACACCTCATCGGACTATAAGAGTATTCCTGTAGCACTGTGGCTCTTTGTCTTTCCTATGCTGTCCTAGCAGCATCCAGTCCTGGGCATCTTGCTGTCACATCATGGCTGAAGCCCACCTGGAACTTGAACTTGACTGGGAAACTCCATTTTTCCAAAGCAGGGTTCTCATCTTTTGGCTGTGTAGCTCTTGGTCCCCCATGGATAAGAGTGACACCTGGAAGATCTAGAAGTGAAAACAGTATCATAGAGTCACAAACATTTCCATCCAACCCTCAAATTTCAATACCTCTGGCAAACAGACATAATAAATAAACCACAATTAATAAAAAACTAATTAATAAAATGGGAGCTCTTAGAGAACTCTGAATCTTTTGTTGAAACTTGTTAATAACAAGATTCTTCTTAAGTTCTAAATACAATGAAAAACAATGATTCTTCACAGGGGAAAATCAACGCCATCCAAAGTAACCTATGCCACATGAATGTCTATGTTCATTTACATATGCCACACGTTCATCAGTCTGAACAAACAGAGGAAGACAAGCAGATCCGATGTGCATGGTTTTTATGTCTTCTACATATGTGCTGCTTTCTCTACATATGTATACCGTAACAAAGCAAGCTGGCTCAGTGGGTAAAGGCACTTACCAATAAGCCCGACAACTTCACTTCAATCCCTGGGACCCACATGGTGAAAGAAAACTGTCTAACCCTGCTTCCCCCTACATGCACACACACAAGCACACTCAAAAGTATTAAAAATATAACCATTTTTAAATTATCTCAAATTTAGCACCATTTGTAGAGAATTATGTAAGAACTCTATTATACTGATAATCTCCCCCTCCCTCCTTGCCTCTCTCCCTCTCTCCCTCTTTTTTCCTCTCCTTCCGTCTCACTCTTCTCTCCTTCCCTCCTTCCCTCCTTCCTTCCTTCCCTCCCTGCTACCCACCCTCTGTGTGTGTGTGTGTGTGTGTGTGTGTGTGTGTGTGTGCATGTGGGTGTGGGTGTGGAAGCCAGATGTCAACCTTGACTGTTGTTCCCAGGACACCATATCCCTTCTTTTTTTGATCAGGATCTCGCTGGCCTGGAACTCACTGATAAGATTAGGTTGAGTGACCAATGAGCACTGGGATTACAAGCACGTATGAATGCACCTATTTTACTTTTTTATCTCTAAATTTTGTAAAACAAAGTATTTTATTTCTACAGGTGTTCTGCCAGTCTGTATGTTTGTGTACCATTTGCATACCTGGTGCCCATGAAAGCCAGATGAGAGTGTTTAATCTCCTGAACTGCAGTTACAGACAGTTGTGATCTATCATGTGGGTGCTGGTAATTGAACTCAAGTTTTTTAGAAGAGCTCCCAATGTTCTTAATCATTGAGCCATCTCTCCAGCCCCCATGCCTGTTTTAGCTCTTTTTAGTATGAGTTGGGGGCAGGGGCGGGTATCCTCATACTTGCAGGGCAAGCACTTTCCCACTGAGTTCCCTCCTCAGCTCCATACTTACAACTTAAGACTCTCTCTCACTGATTCACAGATCACCTGGCCAATCACTGAGTCAGTAAGCTGTCATCTGCTGTTTCTAGCTTAGAATGTAGGGTTTACATTTAGTCACAGATGAGAATAGGGAAGTACAATTAAATAAACCAATAATGTCACTCATCAAGACTCTATAAATTCACACACCTAATTTTTCATTGATACAGTCTTCAGTTTTTCTACAAGAATGTGAAGCTATTTGCTTCCCCTGTTGCTGAGCCTCTGTGGAAATACACACGCCGTGACAACAGTTTCAGAATCTCACCTTCTGCCCCACAACTTCAAACTAAGGGCACTTGAAAGTCAGGAACAGAGATGTGCACACCAGGCACAGAAAGCTTGTGTGCCCAGCACTAGATCAGAGCAAAAAGTGAGAATGTAAATATCTCCACAGGGATGCTGGGAGAGGAGCACCTGAAGGATGGTGATTTCTATCAACCATGGATCCTTGCAAGGCAAAGATTACTCATCTTGGCTCTGCCGTCCCAAATCACAAGCAGCACTAAATTTACAAAGGTTATATTTTAGAAATATGCTATCAAGCCAAAAGAGCAAGTGGTTGAATAATCTCATGTGTGATTCATAAGAAAGGCTCACTGGAATGGCAGCAGGAAGAGAAAAGCAAGAGACTGAATTGAGCCCTGAGAAGAATGTAATTTCTCTGTAATGACCTTTGCAAGCCGATGTTGAGTCCTCATTTTCCAGGCTACTAGCTGTCCTTAAGGAACACTTCCAGGATAATTTAGAAAGCTAACACAAAATAGCTCTCCTGGATGCAGTGGGAAGTGTGTTCTTCCCCCCAAGAGAAGCCTGCTTCGGGGGAGCACACTCCAAAGGACTGCATATCCTAAAATATCCCTGAGCATCTGGGCTACATGCTAGTTGTAGACAGTTCAACTTAATGGCTCTCTGAGAACACAGAGAGACAAACTCTGAGCTGCTACTACCATAGCCCATGCATGCCCTTCCATGCATAGTACTTAAACACGTGCTGACCAATCTCCAAATGGCAAGGTCTGAGTTCTTTTCCATTGAACTTCTCTGGTATTCATTCACTTCTTTGTCCATCCTCAGGAAAGGCCAGAATCAGCAGAAATGGGCACTTTGTGTGGAAGGTAACCAACAATGGCTTCCGTGAAGCTGGAAGATAACTACTCCAGCTCTCTCCCTTTCGGTGGGAGAACTCAGAGCACACTGTTGACAATACTTTTCTGAGTGGTTTCATGGCCCATGACTGAGATACATAATATGGAAGTTTGCTTGACAGTGAAATCTTACTATTGTTATCATTCTTGTCTTTATTTCCTAGAACGACCTCTCAAATAAACAACTGCATTCAAATTATTGTGCCATCACTTCGTCTAATAGTAAAACTACAGGAATTCCAAACTGGATTTAAATTTATCAGATGGTCTGTTTATCTCAAAGTCAACAGAGTAGGCTTTGCTTGGCTATGAGAACAATGGATATCTGAGCTTCCAACTCTTCTATAATGGCCCAATAAAAACCCAACCAACTAACCCAGAAATGCTTTCCCATTGTCTCATGTTCATTGTCTTATAAGCAGCCAATGACTACTACGCATTAACCTGTTACTGCATTGTAGAACACAGTAGTGATGTCTCCATGGAAGCTGGGCAACACATATTCCTCTCAAAGCAAATATATTGGTGTCTAAAATTAATTTGTAGAAATTCAGCTTTTGGGAATCAAGGATGGAGAAAGCAGATCTAATGGCCAACTAAACCTCAATTCATCTTTCACTTTTGAAAGTAAACCCTGGATCTTACCTGTTAGTTGTAAAGTTGTAATAGCCACTTTCCTCTAGGACTTCTTCAATCACACTCTGTAATCGACAGACAGTCAGTTAATACAGGATTACAAGAAATACAAGTAAAAGCACACAGGGGCTGTGGAAACTCTACCTGCATCTGCTCATATGTGATTCCCTCTTCCACTTCAAGGCTACTTGGTGGACCTGAAACAAAGCAGTTACAGAACATCAATCTTTGCTTCATAACTTCTTACTTATACCTTACTGGCAACTCATATTTCAGCAGCAGTGAATGTGGTCAATTTCTTAAGTATAAAGACTCAAAAGCAAATTCCAGGGACAGAGAGATGGCTGAGCAGGTCATAAGCCTGATGACCTGAGTTAGATCCATCACCGGACTCCTAAATGTTGTCTCCAACCTACACACACACACACACACACACACACACACACATGCACGCACATGCTTGCATACTTGCGTGCTCACACACATGCACATTTATTAATAAATTTTGTTAATAATAAGTAAACTACAATGACTTGGCCTTGCTTCTCCTCCATGCTTGGCTGCTCCAGGTAAGGCCATTACAAAGCAATAAACCACGACATAGAAGCAACACAAAGACAAGGAAGGTAAAGGGATGTGTGTTATGCTGACTCTAGACACATAGCACCTGCACGCACTGGGGAGCTGCCAAAACCAATTGTCAGTTTCCCCTCAGCCAGCTTGCATTGACCCCTTTCAGGAAACCCCGTGGAAACAGGCAAGAGAAGGGTTATGAGGTTGGCTGAGGAGAAACATGAGGACAGAGTACTGACTCATTTTAAAGCCTTGTTTAAAGGTCCTGGCATCCATTTTTGCTAAGCATCCTGTGACAGCGGCTAAGCCTCCACTCTACAGTAGACTGGCTAGCTGCCCTAGGAGGAGTCAGTTAACCCAGTCTCAGGCTTCTGAGAGTCCACTTCCATCAGAGTCTACTGCACCTCAGTTACTTTGATGAGTTTGACCAGCAGGTGAACTGACCCAATCTGGGAGCAGCTGTTAAAAGCAAATGACTTCAGACATCATGTTATCTTGCTTGGGAATTTCTCAGGGTTCTGTTCAAATGACACTATGCCCACCAGGATTTAATTTGTGACAAGTATACGCATTCACACAAAGTTTGACAACATGCAAAAAAATGATTTCTTAGGCAACAACAATACACTCCTGTAAGCTATCAAATATTTATCTAACTGTGAGGCTTCTCTTCTGGAGCCTGGGTCCAGTACCACTGCAGTTGCTAGGGAACTCTGAAATCCCAGAAGAATAGGATTCTGCTTCTCATCTTCAAGCATCTCAAGAAGAATGTGGCCGTGCTGAGTCCCTCCAAAGGCCTGGCTCTTGTTATGTCTACTGGAACTCCTCACATCGACTATACAGCCATTAAAGGATGTTTATCCTACTCATCATTTTATTGCGGTGTTCTTATATTTACTCCCATGTTATAGGAGACGCTGAGCTTCAGAGGTACAAGATCAGCTACTAAGTGGCTGAGCTGAGATCTGAATTAGAAGTCCAAGTTCCCAGACTCTGTGTCTGGGAGCTCATGTTTCCCTATGTAGAATTATTCTAAAAAGGAAACAAAAAATCAGATGCCTGATGTGGAGTCTTTGTGTGTATTTCAAGTTGTCTCCACCTTGAATATTTAAGCCTTCCATTTCTGCCTTTTATCTTCCTAGATTTGATTTCATCAGGCAACGAAGAAAAAAAATAAAAGGAAATACAATTCACACAGAGAGACCCTGCTGTTTATTTATAGTGTTAATAAGCAATGGCGGGGGCTGCCTGTGTGGAGACATGGTCTCTAGGAACCTCTAGATCCTACTTTGTGTATCTCCAACTGCTGCCTCAGTGAATGAATAGAAACAAGACTCCAATTTTTGTGTGTATGTGGTAGAAGTAATATTTTAGGACAGATGTTTATATGAGCAAAATGGTTCTTTCTGTTTGTTTGCTTTTTGTGGAAGCCAGGTCCGACTTACCTGTGAGGTCACTTGGGGACCAGTTGTTTGCAGCCCGTGAATGGCGAAGTAAGTGGTAATCTGAGGTGAGAAAGTTTGGCTCTATGGGTTCTGGAGATCCCTGAGATAACTGAAAAAGGAAAATGCAAAAGTGCATCAAAGGCAGACAGATGGCAGACAGATGGCAGGACACTTTTGGGCAAGGAGTCCCATTCAATTTAGAAACTTTCTTTTTCCATGTGGGAATGTTGGGGTTCTGTGGTCCCTTGTAAACAGAGAAACAACATCCTGCTTCCAAAGGACTGAAAGATTAGAAGCAGAAAATTACAGTGAAGGCAAGTCAGACAGTTCCGTAGTCACATGATAAAAGCATGCTTTGTAAAGGAAAAAGAAAAGCAATGTAAATACAAGAGCCTGAGCCAGGGACAGCAAGATGTTATTTTTAATCAGGCGTAGGAGTGATAAAGCCCAGTTATTCCACAGAACAATATGCTTAGTCCAAATCCAGCCCCCTTTTCATCATCTGATTTAACAACACCTTCTTGTTGGACCATGGCAAGCAAGTTTCTTAATACATTTTTCTAAATTACTATTAATTAACTTGGTTCTCCAAACATTAGTTCCTAACACTCTATTCACCCAGTGACAGAATTTATTAAGTCCCAACTGCTTAATGCTCTTCTGTACAGCTGAATTTTTAAATAGAATTTCTTAATGGAATTTTAGGCTATAAATATTTTCCAACTCTTTTATACCTTTAATTCCACCCAACACTTGGACTGGCCAAGTTTTAGTGCCTGAGTTAATATACTATTAAAACATTAAGTATTAATAAACCAGAAGCAGACAGCACAATTTGAACTGGGCAGTAGAAGTTAATTTGGATTTACAAACTCTGTTTATGAGTTAAGCACCTCTATTGCTAATCGCTTGAAAAGACTGGCAGCAAAACCACAACTAAACAACATGTGTCACATGCCACATAGAAGACACATGGTGTGTGTGTGTGTGTGTGTGTGTGTGTGTGTGTGTGTGGTGTGTGTTCAAGCACGTGTGTGTGCACATGCATGTATGTGTGAGAGCATGTGTGTGCACGCATGTGTGTGTGCATGTGTGCATGTGCACTCGTGTGCATGTGTGTGTGTCTACACATGTGCACACACCCTATTCCTTCCACATTCATCCATATTCTCTATTCCCTCTTTCCCTGTTCCTTCTAACAAAATATTTGTATAATAACGTTCATGGCATACTATTTATAGTAACTAAAAACTGGAAAAATCTCAAATGTCTACATAGACAAATACACTATGATGCGCTCACACTGTGGCATTCTACAAAGCTATGAAACAAATGATTGACATCCAGAATGTGGATGAATAGTGTACAAATGAAGCCTGACATGGAAGGAGACATAGCAGGAAGCTTCACCTATGCATACTTTTATAATCCATCCAAACCAATGACGATGGATGTCAAGAGATGTGGCGTGACTAGGATGGAGCCTGATGGACAGTTGGGGAGACTCTGTGTTCTGCTGTGGTGGAGGTCACAGGAGTAAACACGTACCTCACTATATATTCTGCATCATCTTGATACACTTAAACTGGCTAGTCAGAACTATTCCATGATTGCACGTCAGATACTAAGAACACACCTTCTAACCCTTGGCTTGAGAGACTTGAGGACACAAAAAGATAAAGTCCAATGAGATTGACATTCAGATAGAGAAGAAAGGATGATGCTTCTAGTGATCTTGATGTGGGCATAGGGAACTGAAGGTGATTCTAATTCTGAATGTGCCAGATGGCAAAGTCACTGTTGCCCAGTAGATGGAGACACAGAGGAAACAATGTATTTCAACTCACAGTCCATATGGCTAGAGGAAGCTATGGTGGTTAGTATTCTCGAAATGGCATTGTGAGTACTAAGCTTATATGAAGACCTGCCTTTACCATGCTTTCTCTCTTTGCATGACACATAAGGCCCCTCCTCTGCACTAGAGAGCACACTCCATTCAGAAGTACAAATGAATTCATACATTTTTGAACTAACAAGTCAAGGAATATATTAGACAGAATAGATTGTGGCAATCACCACCTGGCTCCAAGACATCCCTGATTTGGGATAGGTACAGCACCATTTAAATGCTTAGTCAAGAACAAACATTCAAGGCAGAAATTTCAGAGAAGCAAGCAAGGAGAGACTATAAATGCAGTCACTCAATTTCCCAAACATCTTTTCCATATCAGAAACTCTAGTTCTCTGCTGGAGAACAACTTCACAAATGGCATGATATCTAAGCAGCAGAGAGAACTCTGGAAGACACATAATCAGCATAGATGAAATCAGATACCAGAGTAAAGAGGGACATTCGGCTGAGATGACCACTCTACGCTCTCTGCCCCTCTGTTCTAAGTTCACTTAGCTCCCTTGTCCCCCGAGACTGAATGCCACATTAGAAACCATAAGACGTTCCCTAATGTTTTCTAACCTACAGCTTCTTTTAGTTTCTTATTAGCTTTCCATAAGCACTTTGTTATCAGAAATGACCAATATCTACAGTCACCTTTCTCTTCCACAAACCAAAGTCTTTCTTCTCCGTTTCTGCCTAGGGTCTGTAATACTAAGCTCTTCTATGAACTCCTGCTTGTTCTCAGTGGATGACATTACTTGCTTCCATCAGGAGCTCCTGTATCACTTCTTCACACTGATAACATGCCCAGCCCCTACCCCATGCCCCATCCAGGAAAGGTTAATTAACTCACAGATGCAGCAACCCCGAAAGGTAGTTCCTTCCCTGGAAGCTATTCTGATTGCCTCCTTATTCTTCAGTTCTTGCCTATGATGATAATAATAATAATAACTCCTGTCTAAAACCCACCTTTCCCCTGCCTGTGCAATTTGTTTTTCAGGCTCACAAGACAAGCATCTGTTGCTCCCAAGGACAGGCCATGCCTTCTGCCACCACCAGTTTTGCTGAAATGTATTGGTTACCAGCCTGGGAATCAGGGAAGATGAGCATGCCCTTTCTTGCCTCAGCCTTACCCTATCTACAACCTCCTTTATTTCCTCCATCGCTCTGGTTTTATTAACATCACCCTTTCACTTTTCCTAGGACACTACATTAGTTGGGGTTTGGGGGATGCACTTCTGCCTTTCATTCTTTCTTTCCACCATCCCTTATAGCCCAGACTTGGGTATCAGAGGAAGTGAGCTGAGCTTAGTTAAGCTGAAGACAAAGCTGCCTGAGGCCTACAGCTTTAACCTTTCCTTCCAGAAACCAATATCCCTTCATCCTTCCTTCTGGGGGCTTGATTCTTTATTTCAAAAATATTGATCATGGCCTGGGGAAATCATATTAACTACTTCCCTTCTTTCCCTGGCTTACAGTGCCCCGCAGCTAGAAGCCAAAAGTGTACTGAAATAGAATACCTGCTCTATAAGACATTAGCTGACTGCATGCCTGGGTATAGCAGGACATAGATAGCTGTTAGGATAAATAGCACTTTGAAACAGCTGCACCTTGGAGGCTCACATAGATTTGTGACAGCCCAATGCCAAGTCTGGGAAATGCACAGAATGCTGGTGACCCTAATTTGGATCCCGCTTGTACAGGCCACCAAGTGACTCTCAGAGTGAAGACCACACTAGGTAGATTCCAGATACCTTCATCTTGCTTTCACGTCCAGGTGCTGAGACAGTGACAGGCATAGGAAAGTATTCTGATGCCATTACCTTCTGAGTTCTTTAAGATATTTTTATTTTCTATGTACCCATATTCTCTAGATAACAAACTGTTTTTATCAACTTGGTCTGTTAGAGTAGGACTTGGATGCACTGCCTACATGGAGGGCAACAGATCCCTCTGACCTCACCAGATTCTACCTTCAGGTGGGGCTGAAAAATACTTTTTCTCCTTCAGTTCCCCCATGTGCTCTCAAAATAGCAGTGTCAATGCATCCTGGGTACGTGTTCCCGGAACCCCTGTGTCTTCCATGGCTCTCGTCCCAGTGGCAGTTTATAAAGACTAGGCAAGGCATCAAGGAGAGAGTAAGAGGGGGCCTGGGTATTTTGGTGGTCCTAGTTTTCTGTCTGAGGCTTCTATATAAATCCATGCCTACTCTTGGGGGGATGAAACTTAGCTGTTCATGGGGCCCCAGTCTCAGTGCATCTGGACTCCTTTTACCTTTGCTCTTCGCCTCATGTCTTTAGCTAGGTGCCAGGGAAGCACTCCTTTCCTCATTTCACCCATTTGGTATACAGATGCAAGTAACCGGGTACATCTTGGAGGTCTCTTAGACAGGCCCATTGGAGGGATGGTACCTGATGGCCCCACTCAGCTTGAAGCAGCCATATCAGTCATCTCAAGTCCCCAACAACAGCTCTTCAGAAAGGAGAATAATGGGAATGGGAAATAGTAACTAGTCAGACTATTTGGGCTTCCATTTTTGTCCTTCACCAGAAGCTAGAAATCCCCTTTGTTCTGTGCTAGCCAGAAGACAGACATGCCAGAAGTGGATTGGGGCTCCAGGCCCCAGAATACCTTCCGGCTATCTTTCTTCTTTTGTATAGCTCCCTGGAAGCTAAACAGGAGTGTGTAACCAAACTAACTATGCAACCTAACACACGGAAATCTCATGGGGAGGCCAGCTAGACTGACCAGCTCTCCTCCATGCCTCAACCCAATTTCTTCCACAAACCATGAGAAATCTCTAAACTAACAGCTCAAAGTCAAGTCTTTTGATGGTGACATGCTCCTGCTATAGGCGTTCTTTGTCTTCAGCTCTCACCTGTCTTACAACAAACTCCTTTCTGAAACCTGCCGTCTTTGTTATGGTTTCTATTGCTGTCATAAACACCATAACCAAAAGCCATGTGGGGAAGAAAGGGTTTATTTCAACTCACACCTTTCACATCACGCTTTACCATCCAAGGAAGTCAGGACAGAAGCTTAGAGTCAGGAACTGAAGTAGAGACCATGGAAGAGTACTGCTTACTGGCTTGCTCCTCTTGGCTTATTTAAGTTGCTTTCTTCTGTACCCAGGATCACCTGCCCAGGGGTGGCATTATCCAGAATGACTAGGCTTACCCACATCAGTCACTAATTAAGAAAATGTCCCATGGGCT